AATGCATATGATAAAGTGTGTAGATCAATTTTTGTAACTCAAAACGATCAACAAAAATACGAAACGAAAGTTGCTCCACGATTTGTACAGTTAACAAGTAGGGGTGTAAACTAATTTTTATTGAACAAAAATGCTATAGAATATGTATGTGACACTTAAATAAAGTTTGAAGTACAAACTTTGTAGATGACAGTGAAAAACTTGCTGTCAAAAAATGATTTTACTAGCTAATATTTCTACTAGCCTAAAAATTGTAAATTGAAATCAAGTTTAGCTCAAAGCTTAGAAAATTTCCAAGTCTGTCAACAGCTAGACATTGCTATGTTTAGCAAATTATTTTGAGAGATCGGGTTAAAGGTGGTGTAGTGTTATAGCTCGATTTGGTAGTCTCATATGCTATCTTGAGCATAATGAAGGTGGTTTAGGTTTAGAAGCAACGGTTTGGTCGTGATTAGCGCTTTAAAATTCGTGCACATCGCATGTCTCGGGCTGGCTGTCCTTGTGTGCGCGGTCACCTCGTGTGAGAACTCAGCGTCGTCGTGCTTGGGTGCACCACGTGCACACGCACTGCCACGCATTGGCCGGCTGAGGCCGTCTCGGCCTGGCCGTGACTCGGTTGTGCCTTGGCCGCTCTAGCCACAACGCCTGCTGCCGGTCAGCCGCGGGCCACGGTGTCCCACTGTCGCTGCTGCCTTGCACGCTGCTCCCCTACCTAGCTTTGAGCCGTCGCTGGCCCCGTGCCCTGCTACTCTGTCTCACGTTGTCGTCATGGGTGCCATCGCGGCCACGCTGCGCGGCCATCGTGTCTGCCACTATTGCGCGCATGTGGCCGAGCCATTGTCGCCTTCTCATTTAAGGTGCTACGGCCGCGCGGGCCACGCTAGTTGGATGCCCTCTCGCCTTGTCTGTAGCGCCTATGTGTGGGTGTCCTGATCGCACCGCGCACGTCCCGCTAAGGCGAGGATGAGCCGAGCCCACCTGCCGCGCCCTGTCTCTCTCCCTCTCTCTGCTGCCGCCATTGAGCTGCGCCATTAAATTCGTTAGGGAGAGATCACCTCAGGTTGATTTGTGACAATGTTGGCTCCGTCACACAGCCGCCTAGCTGGCTGTCCCCACCCCGCCTTGATTGGAGCCTGGCCGAGCTCCAATTTTGTAGCTTTGCCCCGCCACCGTGCCGTTAAGACCTGTCACTGCCTGCGCCATGGCCAGCCTCCACCACTTCACCCCACGTAAATTTCTCTACACCACTAGCTCACCTTGGCTCCCTCTCCACCGTGCGCACGCCAGTGGGAGCACTACCGCCTCCCCGCCGCCGCTGACGCGACCGTGTCTGTCGTGGCTCGTCGCGCGCATGCGGCCAGCCCTGCTTAGGTAGTCACCGACCGAACCACCACTTTGACAGGGTTCGCAGTGTGCCCCTAGTGTTTATCCCCTATCTCTACTATCCTTTTAGCGTTGTAGATCACCGGGATGACCGCGGCGCCGTCGTGGGAGACCGCGCGCGGTGGCAGCTCGCTCTAGTGCGCCCTGTTGCTCTGTATCGCTGCTTAGGGTAGGCGTTATTGTCGTAGATGGGGTTCGACCCGTTAGTTGTGTCGGTGCGAGCCTCAAGTGGCCGATGTACCGCCTAGTGCCACCGTCTGCCGCGCCGGTGAGCGCGGGGCGTCTCGGGAACCTCTCCGGTGCGAAGGTGAAAAGATCCGAGGGTTCCGTTGTAAAGTCGTTGTCTATAGAAATACTACGTGTAGTGTTCACGCTATTGTCTGATAACGCTAGGGCGTTTTTGCAAGAGTGCCAGCACGCGAGTGGGCTCCCCGCCGCGGGCCACCTCCGCACGTGGGCTGTGCCCCGCGTGGGCCGCGTTGGGCTAAAATCGGTTTATCTTTTTCGAGGAAAATAGAAATAGCTTTTCATTTTAATTCTGACCTGAACTTTGGTAATTAATATAAAATAATATAGATATCCAAAAATTACGAAACAAATTTTGTTAAGTTCCTAGAATTGTGCTCTATTTATTAGTGTATTTAGTTCATATATGTACATATTGATATCAGGAGCTATTAAATCATTTGAGAGTGCTTAATATTACTAGGTTAAATATTGTAGGAATTTTTGTGGTAAATTGGTGATAGCTTTAATCCTAAAATTTTTATGGTAGTTTTCTTGTATTATTATGTGCTCCCTATAATTTTGGTAGCCCTAGAATAGGCTAAGCACTAGGGTAGTTAGGTGCTCCTTGTTGTAATATAAGTTAAATCGCTAATAAGAGTAAGATTACATTTTAGTTGCTAAGTTAATACCTGTTAGGTGAATCCATACCTATTTTGGTGGAAATGATAGGTAGTTATTATCTTAGTCATTAGAGCTAGCTTAATAGCTTAGCATGTGTATTCTTATTTTAAGAGTTGCTGTTGCCAGAATACTAAGTGTTGTATCATCATTGCATGCATGTAGAGAACGAGTTGGTGGAGTTCATGACCGCCGGAGAGCAGGAGTACGAGGAGGTGTTCGAGGAGTACGAGGAGGAGGTTCTCGTATAGGAGGAAATCCCACAACCACCGACGACTGACATAGTTGATAATCCGCCTGCCCAAGGCAAGCCCCAATGCATAACTTTTATTTTGAATAATCACTGGATATATATGTGTGATGTGCATTTACGTTACATGATTTATATTGAAACTACATGCATAGATAAACATATCTATGAGTCCTACTAGCATAGGTCGAGTAGCTGTTATGCTTGGGCTATCGGTAGCGTAAGTAACCTGCAGTTACTCACAATAGGTGATTATTATTATTACTCTCATGATAAAATGGTGAAAGGAAATGGAGATCGGACAGGGATATGGTACGTGTATTGGTGGGTGTAATAGTTTGTGTCTCACGGTCAACGAGGTATAACTTGGTTATACTATTTTTCCGGTCCATATCGGTTAAGGACCGTCCGTTGCTGTAGATTTTAGTCAAGTTACAAACTTATTATCCTGAGCATATACTTGCTTATGGGAGCAGAAAGGCTCGTTGCTCTGTTATCGTGGGTTCTGGCTTTTTTTGGACCGACTGATTGGAGGCGGGGATGGTAGAGGTCTAAGCACCACACTGAGTCTGGGACTTAAGAGTAGGGGCTTGGAGTCTAAGTTTGGACGAGGACCTGGACCCCTTGACAGGAGAGTGGTGGATTGATCTTGCTTGTGCCTGGGATATAAGCGGGGCGTATGTTTCAGGGTACCCGGCTGGGATACATTGGTTCGTGAATCGTCGTGTGATACGATACGGCTTGATTATGATCTAGCACCATAGTAAGAACTGGAAGATAAAAGGGAATGAATGGATCTGATTGTTCAACTCTTGGTTGAAAGTAGAACATGTGCTTACATAAAATGGTTAGCTAATGAACTAATCATAACTGCTAATAAAACATATACATAAGGATTTACTACTAGTAATGCTTTTCGCAAACAAAAAGAAAACCCAGCAAACCATAAAGCTTATCATATACTTTGGAGTCGGGAAATTATTCTCATTAGTCGGGTAAGTCTTATGAATACATTGTGTACTCAGGGTTTATTTATCCTTGTTGTAGGTACAGCTTGATGAGTGGTTGTTGTGTGGAGGATTCTTCTGGTGGGCACAGACGGATCCTTATATCCTATCGTTAGATGTTTATTTCAATTCCGCTGTTTAAATTCCGCACTCTAAACTTGGTATTATAATAATGTATTTCTGAGAACTCTTGTTGTATGAAATGGACTAAGTATTGTAAAGTCATTCTTATTATTAGATCCTAGATGAAAAACGTGGATTGTTCGAGTTCTCTCTTGGGGTGTGCTCGATAAAACCGTCTGATGTAGTTTACTTTTGGGGTGTTTAGTATCTAGTGGAAGACGAGCGCCTCCGAAGATGTGTTATTTCGGACGATTCTGCCATAGGCACAGTCCTAGCTGGAGTTAGCCGGTAATCCACAACCAACTAGGCGACGATCAAGAGTGGTAGAACAATAGTGAGGGACTTTCTCGTGTGGGAGAAAGAAAATCAACAGAAGTATCGTAGAAAGTGTGCAACCCACACATGTGTATGAGAGTTGATGTGGAGATTTACTGAGTGTTTATCTTTAAAAATTTAGATATAAATTTTTTCGAGGGCTAGTTTTTTACAAAAAAAATGAATTAGAGAGAGAAACTATTGGAAATCCTCTTACATCGTTAAACATTTCAAATTTTGATGAGAAAGATTGATGCAATACGATAGAGCCCCTTTTAACTATCGTTCTCACCTATCGAACAATCAAATATATAAAATAAACTATTAATATTTATGATGCATAATAAATATTATTAGATTAATCATTGCATATATTTTTTAATAATATACTTGTTTGAGATACAAATGTTATTAATATTTTCTATAAATCTAGTCGTACTTATACTTAAGAAAATTTGTATGGCACAGAAATCTAGAAGCGACATTGTCTGAGACCTTGTTTAGATTGTAAGTTTTTTCACTCTCTCTCCATCACATCAAATCTTTGGACACATGCATAGAGTATTAAATATAGATAAAAAAATAACTAATTATACAGTTTGATTGTAAATTACGAGACGAATCTTTTGAGTCTAGTTAGGCCATGATTGGACAATAATTATCAAATACAAATGAAAATGCTACGATGTCAAATACTGATTTCTAACCTAATCTAAACAAGGCCTGAGATACAAATGTTATTAATGTTTTTTTATAAATCTAGTCGTACTTATACTTAAGAAAAATTTTATGGCACAGAAATCTAGAAGCGACAAAGGATTATATAATTTGGAATATATTAAAAAAAACGAATTACGTTGACATATAAACCCTTATATCGTCTCTATATTTGCATACCGCACTTTCGTTCCTTGGTTTCATCAGTTGTCGTCGACTCATCCAAGCAGGACCCGCGATACCCAAACCCTCGCACCTTCTCGGCGGCGGCGGCGGCGTACGGGACGGCAGAGGTGGCCATGGCGGCGGTCGCCATGGTGAGCTCCGCCAGTGGGCTCCTTGCTATGCTGCAGGAGCCGGCGCCGGAGCTGAAGCTGCACGCGCTCGCCAGCCTCAACTCCGTCGTCCACCTCTTCTGGCCCGAGATCTCCACCAGCGTTCCCACCATGTGAGCCCAGCCTCCGCCCCTCCTCGCTTCCGCTGAGCGTGCCCGGTTGCCGCCGCTGTAGCTGCAGTGTTTGCGCGATTTCTTCAGGCGCCCACCTTGGTTTGGCTGAATTTCTTAAGTGTTTCGATCTGCTTCTCTTATTGATGATGATGACTCTGGAGGAGACCTTGACCTAGATGCTTTTTCTTTTGCGCAATTCGTTCAGAATCAAGCGTTTGTGCAAGGTAACCGTAGGTCACGGGTTGGTTCTGATATGTTAGATGCGGATTCGGGAGGCCCAATTCGCGTCCGTGAGCAAGTGTGATAACCATACTTTCGTACAGTGATTGTAGCTGAATTGGTGCCAGTCTTGTACTTCTTTTGCCCTTACTTGGATTTAGCCTGGGTTTTAGTGGAGAGGCTAAAACAATTCGAGGCAACTATATAAGGAAAGGATATCAGTAGGAGTGAACTGAGTGTAGATAATTCAGAATTTTTTGAAATTTCATGGGTGGACAGGTTTACATTTTATAATTGCTGTGTGAAACTGTGAAGTGAGGATGGGAAGGCTTGGTCTTCACATATGAAAGGAAAATGAATACATGCATCATCTTCCTTCAACAATTTTTTTAATTTGTTAGGGGCTTCCGGCTTCCCTGTTCGGTTCGGTTATGCATAATTTGGTTGCAGTATGATAAGCTTGTTATTTTTGGTGGTTATGTGTCTCGATAGTAGTAGCTTTCTTATATATATTATGAACCTCTTGTTTCTGGAATGCCTGTTCCACATGGAGCACCCTTCTTTGTTTGAATTATTAACCACAATTTCTGTTTTTAATTGCTATACAGCTAGTTAGATTTCATTACATGCCTATGTTTGTTTCATGGTAGCTATCTGCCTTCTTGATACAAATGTAGCTTTAATTTTAATTCTCATTTAGTTTGTGGAGCTACTCTGATTAAAGTTCATGATTGGACAAGCACAAAAAGTGTGCCTTTTCTTGTATTGCCCATTTCCAATGATTTTAATCACTAATTAGTTTCCAACTGTTATCTATTTCCTGCAGCGAGAGCTTGTATGAAGATGAGGAGTTTGAGCAGAGGCAACTTGCAGCACTTGTTGTTTCTAAGGTATTATGCCTCAATAGTTTTTTTATTCCTATGAAAAGATCATTCTTCTGTATTGTTAAATGTTAATACTGATGTTTGTTGTATATCATGTAGGTATTTTACTACCTGGGCGAGTTAAATGATTCACTGTCATATGCACTTGGTGCTGGACCCCTATTTGATGTTTCTGATGATTCTGACTATGCCCATGCTCTTTTAGGTGAGAAGGGTCATAAGTTTTGAGCTATTATGAATGATAGTTTTTATCATGATCTTTTGGTCATCATGTTGAATTGCTGGTTATTCTTTTTCAGCCAAAGCATTAGATGAATATGCCAGTATCAAGACCAGAGCCTCTAAAGCTACAGAGGAGGAAGAGAACATTGATCCTCGATTAGAGGCCATAGTGGAGAGGATGCTTGAAAAGTATGATAAGATTATATTGTTTGGTGCCGTCAATTTGTCGGATGGGTTATGAATCTAATATAAATTCTTTGACTCAGGTGTATTCTTGATGGGAAATATCAACAGGCCATGGGTATGGCTGTTGAATGCAGAAGGCTGGATAAGCTGGAGGAAGCAATTGTTCGGTGTGATAATATTCAAGGGGCTCTATCGTATTGCATCAATCTTTCTCATCAATATGTTAATCACCGTGAATATCGTTTTGAGGTATTTAGTCCTTTTGCTTTGTTGGAGGCAAATGCATGGATCTTTTTAGATTTTTGTGTCTGTTTCTGGCATATAGTAGATGCTGCTAAAATGAAATTAACTGACTTATCAAATATCTTACACTTTTTGCAGGTTCTCCGTTGTCTTGTTAAAATATACCAAACTTTGCCAAACCCAGATTATCTGAGCATTTGCCAGTGTCTTATGTTTTTGGGCGAGCCCGAAACTGTTGCAAGCATATTGGACAAGCTGCTTTCTGGAAGCAAGGTACATTTTTGTTCTTTCTTCTGCTGCATTATTAATGGCATTTGCAGTTGCTTATATGAGATGTCATGCTCGGTCTCCAGGATGATGCTCTACTTGCATATCAAATTGCCTTCGATCTTGTTGAGAATGAAAACCAGGCTTTCCTTTTGAATGTGAGGAATCGTTTGGCCTCACCGACTCCTGAGCCATCTAACCCTGAGAGCGAGCCAGCTGTACAAGATGATCAAACTGCCAGTATTGTGGGTACAGGCACAGAAGCAGCTGGAGATGTTCAAATGAGAGATGATACAACTACACCAAATGGAAATGCCCACACTGTGGATCCAAATGAGGTAGCACATGCTAACAGGCTTGCAAAAATTAAAGGGATACTGTCAGGGGAGACTTCTATTCAGCTGACATTGCAATTTCTATATAGCCACAACAGGTAAAGCAATTATTTCTTGCTAAATGGTGGCAACTGGCCTTGAGCATATGCCTTTTCCACCTGATACTGATGTGGTGTGGTTGGTTGTTTCAACAGATCTGATCTTTTAATTCTGAAGACAATAAAGCAAGCTGTGGAAATGAGGAATAGCGTTTGCCACAGTGCAACCATATGTGCCAATGCAATCATGCATGCGGGAACTACTGTAGATACCTTTCTAAGAGAGAACCTGGTATATGTTTTTTCTACTTGCTGCCTCTGCATTAATTTTAGTTGTTGCAATGTTTCATGTTGCCATTGTGTTCCAGGAGTGGTTAAGCAGGGCAACCAATTGGGCGAAATTCAGTGCAACTGCTGGACTAGGTGTCATTCATAGAGGCCACCTTCAACAAGGCCGGGCTTTGATGGCCCCCTACCTACCTCAAAGTGGTGCAGTTGGCGGTGGCAGTCCATATTCAGAAGGTGGTGCCCTCTATGCACTAGGTCTGATTCATGCCAATCATGGTGAAGGAATCAAACAATTCCTCCGTGAAAGTCTTCGCAACACCAGTGCAGAGGTGATTATTGTTTATTTCTGTCCTTTTGTTTTGTTATTCATTTCATGCATATTGTGCTAACTCCATCCCCCAATGTCATACAGGTCATCCAGCATGGTGCATGTTTGGGGCTTGGGCTTGCAGCTTTGGGCACAGCAGATGAGGAAATATATGAGGACATAAAGAATGTCCTTTACACCGACAGTGCTGTTGCTGGTGAGGCAGCTGGTATTGGCATGGGCTTGCTCATGGTTGGGACCGCCAGTGAGAAGGCTAGTGAGATGCTTGCTTATGCACATGATACGCAGCATGAAAAGATTATAAGGTTGGTGCTGTTTGATTGCTGTACAGTGCTTATGCACTTGATTTCAAGAACAATCCTCTGACAATTCTTTCTCCAGGGGTTTGTCACTGGGAATTGCATTGACAGTATATGGCAGGGAAGAGGAAGCAGACACCTTGATTGAACAAATGACGAGAGATCAAGATCCCATATTACGTTATGGTGGTATGTATGCATTGGCTCTAGCCTACAGGGGAACTGCAAACAACAAAGCCATCCACCAGCTGCTGCATTTTGCTGTATCAGACGTCAGTGATGATGTTCGGAGGACTGCAGTTATGGCTCTTGGATTTGTTTTATACAATGAGCCTGATCAGGTTTGTGGAATACTGGAATCAGTCGCCAGATTGCATTATCTTATTAATTAGATGCCTTTTGCCTAAATCTATTTCGTTGATTATCATACATGAGTTGACCCACACGCATCAATCCCATTTTTTAACCCGCACATTACATCTGCTGTATTTTTGCAGACTCCAAGAATCGTATCCTTGCTCTCTGAATCATACAACCCACATGTTCGCTATGGTGCAGCCTTAGCTGTTGGGATATCATGTGCAGGGTCTGGATTAAGTGATGCAATTTCCTTGTTGGAGCCTCTTACATCAGATGTTGTTGACTTTGTGCGTCAGGGAGCTCTCATTGCCATGGCAATGGTAATGATCCAAACGAATGAATCCTTTGATTCTCGTGTTGGAGCATTTAGGCGTCAATTGGAGAAGATCATTCTTGACAAACATGAGGACACCATGAGCAAGATGGGTGCCATACTAGCTTCTGGTATCCTCGATGCTGGTGGTAGGAATGTTACAATCAAGCTCCTCTCAAGAAACAAGCATGACAAACTCACTGCTGTGGTTGGTCTTGCCATTTTCAGTCAGTTCTGGTACTGGTATCCTCTCTTGTATTTCATCAGCCTGGCCTTCTCGCCAACAGCCTTCATTGGGCTCAACTCTGATTTGAAAGTGCCAAAGTTTGAGTTCCTATCACATGCTAAACCGTCTCTCTTTGAGTATCCCAAACCGACAACTCAGCAGACTACTGCTTCAACAGTGAAGCTGCCAACAGCCATTTTGTCAACTTATGCGAAGGCAAAATCTAGGGCAAAGAAGGACGCAGAAAGCAAAGCTAACCAGGAGAAGGCCACAGAAGAGGCTTCGGGTTCTACCTCAAGCAAGGCGGCTAAAGCTCAGGAGAAGGATGCTGATGCAATGCAGGTAACAACTATATGTCTTTCATTGTGTTAACATCCATGGGCAGTGGCAGACCTATGATTTTTTCATGGGGCCTGGTGCAATTTTTTCGGAATGAAGGGTATGCGAGGGTAAGGCAACAATACCTTTCCACACGCCTTTATGCATAAACAATATTTCCACATGTAATTCGGTAAAATACATTTAGGAAATTGATAAACAATCAAAGTATTTGGCCCACGGTACACAGATACTAAATAACTCAATAAGACTCAAATTTTTACTTTTTTTTCATATCTCAATCCCTCTTCATAATTCAACAAAGTACATAATGCATCAACAATGTACCCATCAATTAATTTAACTAATTTGCAGCTAAATATATCTACATCTATCTAGGCATCTAGTTATGTTATATACTGTCACCTAGGGGCTAGGGTTTGCATACCTTGTGAACTCTCCACTGATCATGGCTGCCCAAAAATTCAATGATCTTGCTCAAACTAGAAAAAAAAGTATTTTTGAAAAGCCACTGCAGTACCAGTGAAGACCACTGTGATAAGCTCATAAACAATCAGTGTATTTTTTTTATTGGACATTTGGTTATAATTTACTGCCATGATCTATAATCCAAATGAATTTGCTATTTTACCTAAATTGGCTTGGAGCTATTTGAAGTTACACCGTAAACTTAACTGACTCGATCTTTGTTTCAAGGTTGACAATGCCACTGAGAAGAAAGCTCCTGAACCAGAAGCAACCTATCAGCTCCTGACAAACCCAGCTCGCGTGATCCCTGCCCAGGAGAAGTTTATCAAGTTCCTTGAAAACAGCCGATACGTCCCTGTGAAACCAGCGCCTTCTGGATTCATCCTCCTCCGAGACCTGCAGCCCACTGAGGCTGAGGACCTTGCACTGACCGATGCTCCCACAACCGTTGCAGGAAGCACCGGCAACACTGCCCCTGCTGCTGGCCAACAGGGGTCCGGATCATCCGCCATGGCTGTCGACGACGAGCCACAGCCGCCGCAACCCTTTGAGTACACCTCGTAAGCGTAGCCTGGGTCTTTTGTTCTCTCTCTTTTTTTCCCCTTTGAGTATGTAGTGTGCGGAAATTTGTTGTTGGTTGGAAGACTTTTTGTAGAAACATGAGCAGAGAATTTTACTTGAATTGGCGCTATAGGGTCAACGTTGGAAATCTGGGATATCACCTGGGTCAATCCCTGCGCTCCTGCTTGCTCTCTTTTTTTCCCGTGATGTAATATGCTCAAGTATTTTCCCTGGAACACAATTTTGCCACGCTTTCATTATCTGTTGCAATGCTGGTATTGCACAAATGTCGACGCTGGGCACCTGTGAGCACAGCCTGTTTGGCAGCTGTTCAGATCTAATAGCTGCTATAAGTCATAGCTTATCGTTGAAAATATATAGTTTTTTTTCTACCTTCAAAACTAAAAAAAATAATAGTTTGGAGCCTTGCAAATCGTAGAACAGCTTATAAGTTAATCCAGTCACGCCAATGTAAACAACGCTGGCTGCTTGCCTGTTTCCTGCTGAATTCTATGTGCGTTCTATCTGTGTCTGATCTACCTTCACAATAGGGAGCTTGAATGCGAGTCTTGTTCGGCTGGTACATAAGTTGGTTGGTTTCGGTTATTCAATAGTGTTATGTGAGGGAGAATAAGCTGAAATAAACTGGCCTGGCTGAAAAGCAGCTCATGCGAACAGGGCCGAACGGCGTCAAAACTAAAAAAAAAATGCACGTAGTTTCGGGGTCCAGCCTTGCAAATGTGAATGTAGCATTCTTGTCCTCGTCACGCCAATGTAAACAGACGCTGGTCCCGGTGGCCCGCGCGTCGCTTCCGCTGCGGAACGCCGCACCCCGCGCGCTACGCCGATAGGCTCGTCGGCAAGGCTCTGGACGCTGCTCCAACAACAAACATGCTACTGCTATAGTTAAAAAAAAAACATGCTACTGCTACCGTCGAAGAAGTGATTTTGTGTGAGACCGGAGTCAGCGGAAGATGAAACGACTGAAGTCCTCAAAATCTTGCTTTGGATCAGTACGAGCTGTTGGATGTGAAATGAGGGATGAGATGAGACCTTACCAGAGGTAAAGTTGCTGCTCTCCAGCATCTGAGAGGGCGGCGAGCCACCGACCAGGCTGCCAACCGCCGCCGCCGCACTCGCGTCTCCGCGAGTCCGCGTGCTTCGGCCAGGTCGCCAGCTGCCGAGCTACGCTACTCGCCGGTTCGCTGGTTTTATATCAGGACTGCTGGTTTGAAGCGAAAGGACAAGGATGGGAATGAGAAGGACTTGGTGCGATATCCGTTGGCTTCGTCGATGGGTACCTTTAAGCCGAAGAGCATTATACCACCGGTGAAGACCTCTTTGCAAGTGGCATGTGAGAAGGCTTTTGACTTGCGTCTCGTGTATGCTCTGGTCGAGATTTGGTTGAGGAGTTCCTTGCTGCTGGGATTTACCCCTAGGTCGAGATACCTGGACGGATTTTACTTTTGAGAAAATGGAACTTCGATATCTTGACGAAGGCGTGCCTATGCCGTTTCCTCGGTTTGGTTTTAGCAGGCCTAAGTCTGAAAATGATGGTAAATTTGTGCGTGGCATAGAGGAAGAGGCCAACAAGATCCTTGGTGACTATTCTGACAAGGAACATGCCGCCCGAGTGGCTGTACTCGGTACCTGTCCGAGGCTGAATAGGGTTTTTGAAGAGATGAAGGTGACATATTCTGAGCGGCCTGTACCTGAGAAGTTTCGGCTTAGGGAGCAGGCGGCCTGTTTGTGGAAGGAGAATACCTCTGGTGGTTCAAAGCGCAAGGATCTGTCGAGGAAGTCTGTGGCTTATCGTAAGAGGGTTAAGAGTTTGGATGCTGGGCAACATGAGGCAAAGTATCTATCTCCAACATTGTCTCCGGTTGCTGAGTTGGCCAAGGATACCGATCTGTGCAGCGGTGGTGATTCTTTGGACAAGAACGTGGCTGGATTAGTTCGTGAATGTCGTTTACCTTCCGTGTTCGATGATGACGTTGAGGACATGGAATTGATTGACGATGATGACTCGGGGTTAGTTACTAGCACTTTGCAAGGAGCTATTGCTGAAGAGAAAGAAGATGTGGACCCCATTGGTGATGCTGATCCGAAGATCGCTGCAGTAGCTTCGGTGGAAGTGGCTGCTGCTATTGACGTGTCAGGCGCTGCTCTTTCCAGCCCTTCTTCCAGCTGAGGTAGCAGGGCCCATCTTCTTCTGGCAGTTCTGGAGGGGATTCTAGCAGTTTTTCTACCTTGGGAGATTTTGACTCGAGCTACTCTTCAGGGGTTGTGGTGGAGGCTGGGGGCTCTACACCAACTGAATCCGCTGGGGTTGCTGGAGCTACTCTTCAGGGGTTGGCCTGTTCGCTGGAACTTATCAGCCGGCTTATCAGCTAGAATCTACAATATTTTTCTCTCACAATAAAACAGTTTCAGCCGGCTTATCAGCCGGCTTTAATACCAGCCCGAACATGCCCTTAGGGGGTGGGCGCGGACCGGGTAGGTCATGACATTGTTGAGGAACAGGGGGTTCGAGCTTCCTTCAAAGGTGAATAATAGACTTTGGTCTAGACTTGTTTGGATGTTTTTGCCTGCTTTCCTTGATTTTGTTTGCATTAGCAAGTGATCATGAAGGTATTCCCAAGAGAACTAGAGCTGATGAGGATATTGGGGCGCGTCTGTTACAGACAAGACATGGTATGTATTTCGTTGCCTTTGCTATTGGGGTGGGGGTTTCACAACATTGGTTGTAGATGATTCTTACACGGTTCTCTGTGCACCAGCTTTCGAAAGTTACTTGGATATCTTGTCGTGTGATGATATTCTTCGCCTTACCCATGAACATGCTTACCAGGTGGGCTGGCTTTGACCTGTCGTTCATTTTTTTTTTCTTTGGTTTTCGTGTTTATTATTTCTAAAATAAAAAAGAGGGTGTTTCACTTGCAGACTTCTGTCATGGCTAACTATCTGAAGGTTAAGGTTAAGGGTGCACTTGATCTTCGCAAACAGAGTTTGTCTGACCTACAGGATAAGGTTACCTCCCTTGAGGGGGAAGTTGCACAGCTTCGCGAGGACAAGGCCGGTCTGGAGAGGTCTCTGAAAGATAAGGAGAGCGAGAATCAAGCTGTCCTGCAGCTTCTTAGCAAGGATTATGAGGCCGCATGCAGAGACAAAACCTCACTAGAGAAGGAGCTTGAGAAGATGCGGGATGCTGCGATTGCTAAGTCGACTGACCTTTCCAAGAACCTCGGAGAGAAGGTGCTGGAGCTTAATTATTTGAATGATGAGAAGACTAAGCTTGAGGGCCAAGTTCGTGATAAAGAGGATGTGATTGAGGGCCTGCGGGCTCAGGTTGCTAAAGAGTCAACTGCATCTTTTGATCTTAAGAGCCAGGTTCAGTTTTTGGAAGACAAGATGGAAGCGACCAAAGCGCAGGGCCTGGAAGCTTCAACGCTGTTTTGCCAGATGCTTCAGAGGTTTGGTGGTCTTGGTGGAGGTCCTTCCGATAGCGCATCTGTTGAGGATTTGTTTGCTTGGATGAAGTCTGAGTTTGCTGAGCTACCGGATTTTATTGGCAAGGTTGGGGACTTCGGAACTTTGTCCGGTGTGACCAACCTCTTATCTATGATGGAGAAATTTGGATGCGGGCATCTCCAAGAATTCTTGAGGAAGAGTTATGTGTTTCCGTCTCCTAACGAACTCGGTGAGCCATCAAGGACTGAATATCGCCCGGCGATGGTTCTTTCGGGAGTTTTGGGTTTCGCACGGGAGAGATCATGCCCGAAGTCTTGCCGAGGCTCGCCGCTCCCCTTCAGTTGTTTGTTTTGCGGTAGAAATTCTTATCCTATTCGGTTGTGTTTCAGGTGAGGAAGGCTAAAGGGAAGACTGGAGAATCTACTTCTGGTGAAGATTTGAAGGATGAGCCCCCTACGGAGGTTTAGACTTTGGGATTTAGTTAACGGGGGTGTATCCTTTGTGGATATTGGTGTAAATGTATTTTGTAACTAGACTAGACTTTTAACCTGCGCGGGTTCGTTGCATCGAGCCGCAGGAGGTGATACCTTTGACTATGATGCGAGAATGGATTTTATGTGAATGGTGAACTTTGGTCAATTTATCATAGAGCTCTCCCTGCCCGAACATTTACCGACTTCTATGTGTGACTGAGAGTATGAATTAATTGGCACCTGGTTGCATATCTTCGGTTGAACAGTGTGGTCTGTTTTCAGATGACAGGATGACAGTATTCTGCTATACTCTCTCTATGTACCCCAGCTTGTGAAAGACAACTAGTTGGAGCTGCAGCTTCACCTTCTCAAAGCGTTTTGCGTCAAAACTGTGCGCGATCTCAGCTGTATCGGGCGGTCGGGCCTACCCATGCCGATCGCGCGACGGCGTGAGTGCTCCCTCCCTCCCTCCCTCCCTCATTGGACCCGTCTCCGTGGTGCCCCGGTTCAGCTTGTCGGGTGGCCCGCGCGTCGCTTCCGCTGCGGAACGCCGCGCCCCGCGCGCTACGCCGGTAGCCCGCGTGCCGAACTGCCGATCCCGCGCGGCTTGCACTGCGGGTCTGCGGCATGGGTCGTTGGGCCCGCGTCCCGCTTGACGCTGGTACCGTACCTCTGTCCCCGCGGCCGTTCCCGCGCGTGTTCAGATGCGGGCATTCAAATTCTTGAAAATACTAACAAAAAAAAGTCATGCCCGAAGTCTTGCTGAGGCTCTCGTTGCTCCCCTTCAGTTGTTTGTTTTGCGGTAGAAATTCTTATCCTATTCGGTTGTGTTTCAGGTGAGGAAAGACTGGAGAATCTACTTCTGGTGCGAAGATTTGTGGATGGAAGCTACGGAGGTTTAGAATGTAGAGGGGTGTATCCTTTGTGGATAAAAACTAATTGCTAGACAGTTTGATTGCAAATCGAGCCGCAGGAGGTGAACGACTATGATGCGAGAATGGATTTTATAATGGTGAACTTTGGTCCATGATTAAACACTATTTGACTGAGAGTATGAATTAAAATAAAAACGAAAGTGTGGTCTGTTTTCTGATGGCAGGATGACAGTATCAAATCTATGTACCCAACTAGTTCTCCAACTAAACATGCGTCAAAACAGCCGAAATTTCTGGGGACGTTCCTTCCCTAGTAGTAGTACCGTCCTCGGTTCCTGCCTACTCCGTATGTCCGTGCAGCGACGTGCGTCGCGTAATCTATCGGCCCCGGAGAGGCGACGTCTGGTTCTGAGAAAGTGAGAAGCACCCTCGTCTTGTCAGCCTCAACGCGGGCAGCACTGCACAGGTCTGTCTCTCTTCTCCTCTCCATAGTCAAGGTCCCAAGGACGACGACTCACGACTCGCGAGTCGTTCGCTTGGCAAAGGCTGCGGGCTGCCTGCCTCCCACAACATGATGACATATTGACATCGTATCTTCCACCCTGCGCAGCTGCGCTGCCTTCGCCTCGAATCAACCAGATGCAGTCGGCTCCGGACTTGTTCTCTACGCCGTGAGGATACCGCGTGTCCTACGCGCTAAGGTCACGGTCCCTGCGCTCTGACTCAGACATCACAGCTTCCACCATCCACCCTTCGTTCGGCATCGGCGAGCACATCCGATCCGGAGCCTAGTCCTCGCTTTTCAGCTCCCTGCTACCCAAACTTTCTTCCCAAGAATGAGGGTCCACATCACCACGTACGTCGCCGTGTCAAGATGGTTTGGGGAAGGCGAAAATGACAATAGGGCCGAGCAAGGCCACGAGTGACCATTGCCGAGCATTCACACATCTTTATCTTTTCCCTCTCGATGTCGACCTTCTTCTTAGCTTTTCGAGGGTTTTCACATGGGACTCATGCATGAGTTCCCTGTTGCTATGCAAAAACCCTTCCTAGCATAGCAGTAGCAGCTTGTCATCGATTCGCACAATGTTTCCACAGAACACGTACAGTTCAATTACTAAAGAGTTTAGTTGGGATTAAAAAAATCCAGCGTCTCAAGCATTGATTTTGACCGAATGTAACCCACCACACATACTAGATTATTAGACCTAATTTGGGTGGCTAAAATGACAAGATGCCATTTCTCCCGTCGGATCCAACGTGGCCATGCCACAGAGAACGGGCTTACCATGTTCTAAAGATAAGGAACCAAAGTTAAAATGAGGAATCACGCAAACTGTCTCCAGGCACCCTTTTTATACTCGGCCACCCACAAGTTTCAGAACTCGTTCAGAGACCACTCGCAAACCCCCGTCTCGTTCCGCTTGCGTCCCCAACCCCTGCGTCCGCTCTCGACACCGCAGCACGCCAGCACCGCCCGCCGCTCGCCGAGCACGCCTACGCCGCTGCAGCGCTCCAGTCCTCGCTTCCTGCCTGCTTTCGTAGGCGTCCTCATCGTCCTCTTGCTTCCGCCTCTGGAGTGGGTATCCGTCTGGACTTGGATTGAGCTCTCCTTTCGCGGGTAAGGAGGACTCTTCTGTTTGCCGTGATCCCTCGTCTCGAAATGCTACTTTGTTCGATGGATGCTTGATTCCGCTCAGTTCGTGGCGGATTATTTGCTTGGCGGTAGCTTATTTGTCCAAAATTTCTGAGTGGGGTTCAAGTTCAGCCGAACCCCCATGCCCGACGTGAAGTTCGCCCGTGATCAGCTTTCTAGGGACTGGAGTTGCTGTGTTGCTTCGCAGGGCATTTGATCATTTGTGTTTGAGCAAATGTTTAAGACTTGTGAAACTTCGGCCGCAGGTGTCGCTTCATGATGTATCATGTATCCCCTGTTCAGTGCTCTTCAGTCTTCACTGAAGAATCAGCATTGCTGTGCTGTATGGCGTGTAATGGGAACCTGTTGCCGATGTCCTATTCACATGAAATTTCTCTCAATTTAGCCACAGAAACTGTAACGGACCCGTTTGCACTTATTTATTCAGTATTATGAGAACTTCTTTAACTAGTTCGTGTGTTTGGTTTGGCATGTTAGTCGCATCCCATTATTAGTTTACTTTGCGCTCATCACAGTGCAACTTCTACTCCTCACTCAACTTACTTATGGCTGTTCCTTTTCATTAGTTCATATGGTGCCATTGGAGTCACAGATTGTAGTTGAGAAAAACCCTTCCACAAGTGTGGATGCCAAAGAGGTTATAGCAGTATAGTATAGTAATGCTTGTTCCTTGTTTTCCTCTTCTTTGCTAAACATGAAGTTTGACTAACAGTAATATTTATTGTCTGTCAGCTTGTTTTGACAAAAGATCAGAACACATCTACCACTGTCGTTCAAGGTGCAAGCTGCTTAACGTCACCAAAAGGTGTTCAAGAGGAGGCTAGCTTTATGGGTAAAGGTGGAGAACAACAGTTCTGCTACCAGCCTAATGTGTATGCCCCTCAGCCACACACACCCTTTTCTGGAGGTTAGACTACGTTTTTGTTTCTCTGTGTTGATGCTTACACCTACCTGTACATTGTTGCACGAGACAGCATGCGCTGATGCTGCATAGTATGGTTTAAAATAAAATCTGCCCCGCTTTCCTAAAAGACAATTTCACGCCCTTACCTCTATCCTGGTCTTATGGTAGGGCAGAATTACCTACTATTTGAGTTTTTGCTTTTTTTTTTCTTTTGGTTTTATTAAGGTAGGATATTGTCCCGTTCATGATTTTCTACTTTTTAGCGCCCATGATAGTTTTCTCTGCGTGACGATCTAAGCTTTTGCTTTCATCATTTCATCTACAGGATACTTGAACCATTTGGGTCAATGGGAGGGATACCCATATGCTGTGAGTGCAGAGGGACTTGATGCTGCATACCCTGTAAGCCTGTTTCTTAATTTTCTTGGTCATGTTTACTTAAGTGATTTTACTGCAAAACTAGCTACTCATGTATCTCCTCAATATGCAAACAATTCACAGGTGATGTATGGAGCTTATTCCCCTTTGTCAGCCATTGGAGACAGCCAGACATATTTCTCTTTGCTCTGTCCCATGTCAAGCCCTTGCTACCAGCCACCTGCTTCAAGCACGGGATATTCAAGTCCTGGTACTGGAATATCACAATTTGATCCGATGCACCAGTATTACTTTCCTGACGAAGTTCATTACTCACCAACTCCTGGCTTCTATCAGCCTTTTGGTTCTTTCAATGGAAGTAAGAATTCATTTTGTTGATATCTTTGTGGCTCTTTATAATATGTATGGAATTTGATATCTGTTTTCATTGTCACATATTTTACTATATTATTCACATGCCATTTTGTGAATTTGTTACAGTTCCAATGCAATCTAGTGGTGTTCCTGGATTTTTTGAGCAAGGAAACATACCCCTGGCTTCTAGAATGGTATGCGGTCATTTAATTGCATTTTAACTTGTTCTTATTAATTGATTGTATTAGTGTTTATGGTCCAAAGATGGTTCTATAATAACTAGATTTTATAGTTTCACTGCACTTTACATGCCAGTTATGCTGTTTTGGAACTAATAGCGTGCAATCTTTTAGCATCAGGAATCCATGTCTAATTCTGGATCATACAAGGCATTCCAGCAAGGTGGTAAATTTGGAGGCACTACACAAAGTTGGAGCACTGCTAGTTGCAGATTCGGCACTTTCAACAAGGGCTTCAAGAATGAGAAGGGCTCTCTTGACTTTCTGAATGAGCAATGCCGTGGCCCAAGGGCCACCAAAACACAGAAAGAAGTGGGGAGATCTTCAGCTGAGGACAAAAATAAGAAGACATTGCCAATAGTTGATTCTGAGAAGTACAACCACCCTGGTTTTGTCACAGAGTACAACGATGCCAAATTTTTTGTAATAAAATCCTACACTGAAGATCACATTCACAAGAGCATAAAGTATAATGTTTGGGCCAGCACTCCCAGAGGGAACAGGAAGTTAAATGCTTGTTATCGTGAGGCGAAAGAGAAGGAAGACCGTTGTCCTATTTTCTTGTTTTTCTCGGTATGGTTATTCACTTTACCGCTAGATTTTGTTTTTAATCTTTTGCTTTCTTGCTGAGGGAGAAATAGAACAATCTCCATGCCTATGGGTGCCAGCTTACCATATGATTTTGGCTAAGAGTCGGTCACTGTGCTCAAGATGACTTATGAATTTATAACTATTTCTTTGCAGGTTAATAGCAGTGGTCAATTCTGCGGTGTAGCTGAGATGACTGGGCCTGTCGATTTTGACAAGAGTGTTGATTACTGGCAGAATGACAGATGGAATGGCCAATTCCCTGTCAAATGGCACATTGTTAAGGATGTCCAAAACAACATTGTCCGGCACATCATCCTGGAGAACAATGAGAACAAGCGAGTTACAAATAGCAGGGACACGCAGGAGGTACAACTGATGCACATAGCCCCTATCTATCTTTGTGTTTCTGGGCAATTTTTGAACAATAGTTCATTAACTTGACAAGCTAACTTGCAGGTGAAACTGGAGCAGGGTCTCAAGATGTTAGCCATCTTCAAGAACCATGAAGCCGAGACAAGCATCCTTGAGGACTTCGAATTCTACGAGCAACGAGAGAAAGCTATGCTAGATGACAGGCAGCAACAGAAGCAACAGTGTTTCAAGACTGGGAAGCAGGTGCAGACCAGTGCACCAGTGGACATTGTGACTGGTATCTCGGACGCTTTTGCAGAGGCTGTCCAACTGGAAGAAACCAGTGACAGAGAAAACAAACCAATGATTGAAGATCGAAGAAGCCATGCTGAAAACAGCGGAAGTGGGAGGCCTCTTGAAAGAAAGCGGGTGATTGCTTGTTCTCCTTTCATGACTAATCCAGAGTAGCAGCTGGGTCCATTTCTGATGGTATTTCAGGGAGGAGAGAATGAGGGTTATGCAAATATTGCAGCAGCTGCTTCTTTTGTACAGCATGGGGCTAGAGGCATAGGCATAGACCTTGTTTCACCTTCAGTTAGGGAGTCTATATAGTCTAATTACTGAGCTTCCTAAGCTGTCACCGTTTTCCTCCACTTTCACTGCTTGCTTCTGTAACTTATTTCCACTGACCCCCCTGAAGAATTGATCAAGTGTTTTAGCCAATTAGCCAGGAAAAAGGAAAATATTATTCTCTATTAGTCCTGATCAAATTCTACACATTAGCTAAGACGGACATTATCAGAACTCTTGTCATCAGAACAAATCATTGCCAGGAAATTATACATGCTATATACTCATAAGCAACAAAGTGTTTGTGCATATTCCAGTAGGAGGGTTATAACATGAACAAAGCAGCAGGATCACAAGGACATTACAAGAATAGGAAGCCTGCATGATGTTTCGACAGGACATAGGCTAGCCCTAAAACATCTCAAGTGTCTGAAAACACGAACTAGGTATATTTCTAAGGGCAGGAATATTTCAAAGACAACAGGCTTACACCTGAGTATACACACACACAGCCATACACTCAGGTGTGCTTTCTACTTCAGCTGAGCGAAGTCTGGACACATGATAAATACACTCAATTATGCTTCCATGGAGTTCTTTTCGACTCTCTTTTGTTTGATTCAGTCGGTAGTCATCGGTTGGGAGATGCAACACCGAAATCGGGCCTTGCGGACAGTGCTCAGGATCTCCATCTCAGCATGCTCCAGCATCCTCACAACGTCAGTGAATGGCGGACGGACATCAGGATTTGGATCCCAGCACCTGGTCATGATCTCAGCAAGGGTGGGCAGGCAGTCCTGGGGTATAGCTGGGCGGACACCCTTGTTCACCACAGCGAAAGCGGCCTGCACTGCTGTCATGTTAGCAAAAGGGAGCATGCCAGTTATGAGCTCCCACAGCACAATGCCAAAGCTGTAGACATCAACTTTCTGGTCATATGGCCTATGCTGAATCATCTCTCTGCAAGATTAAAAAACAATATGTAAACATCTTCAATTCTTCTTTTATAACTTTGTTAAATGTGTATGCATGAATGACTTAGATTCAAACAAGAAAAATGTACGGCCCATGGGCAGCTGGATATTACCCTATACAGTCCACCAAAAGCATCATAATCAACCATTACAAAAGTAAATTGAAGAAAGACATAAGTTACCACTCCCTCTATTCCAAAATGTAAGTCGTTTTAGTTTTATCCTAAGTCAAATCTATCAAACTTTGACTAAGTTTGTACAAAAATTTACCAACACCTATGACATCAAATTGGTTTTATTAAAATCCACCATGAAATGTCTTTGAAGTGCATTGATTTCATATTCTGGATCAGTGGATGTCAATATTTTTCTATGAACTTAATCAAAGTAAGAGAAGTTTGACTTAAAACAAAATTAAAAGTAAAACAGCCTACAGTTTGGGACGGAGGAAGTACTATGCGACAACTGTTTTAGAACAGTGGTGCGAAAACTACTAATTATTTTAATTAACACTGGCGCGAAAACGCCTATTTCTATAAACTTTACAGTAGGTGGTGTTTTAAGAGCAATTCTTTTCTTTTCAGTAACCACTAATTATTTTTGCCAACAAAAGAGGAATATGTGAAATGTGATAAAGTTTTCAGTTTATGTCTTAACACATCTGGAGATAACAATGTAATAAACCCAAATCTATTCTGGGATCAAAGCTTATGTTAAATATTCAAAGACAATGCATGAGTTTACATTCTTTCAGTCCCAAAGCAGCTCAACAGGTAAATAATGCCAAAAAAAAGTAGCAAAGCCACAAACAAAAATAATTCCTGGATAAGCATCATTTGAGCAACCTGCAAACACCTTAAAATCATAAAAGTCCAGTATAAAAAAATATATGTGGAATTACATAACCCATACTTTCATACTATTGAATTGATCAACACTAAAGTTCAATATATGATGTGACTTTTAATTTTAATTAATATCATGTGGCTAAAAAAGCTCTGTAAGCAGCACCAACAATGTCAGTGTGTTCAACTTACGGTGCCATCCAACGGTAGGTTCCCGTTTCAGGTGTCATCCCCTCAGTTTTTACTTCAATCCGAGCTACTCCAAAGTCAGCTATCTTGATAGATTTATCACCAGATATCAAGAGGTTATCTGACTTAAGATCCCTATGGATGAACCCAAGACCATGAACATATGCCATCCCCCTTGCAACATCCAATGCTTGCTTAACCGCCAGTTTTAGTGGAACTGACCTATTCTGCCTCTTCGCCAGAAACTGCCTAACTGAACCACCCTTGGCATACTCCGTCACAATGCACCAAACCACTGGCTTCCTGCATGCTCCTACAAATTTAACAATGTTCTGGTGCCTCAAGGTTGCAAGCATCATAACTTCTTGCACAAACTGCTGCTCCATTAACCCAGCTCTCTCCGGATCAGCCTCTGGCCTCTCCAAAAGCTTAATTGCAACATCTTCACCGTTGTAGGTACCCCTGTAGAGCTTTCCAAAGGCACCCTGTGCAAAGGGCATTCCCATGTGGAGCTTGGCCAGATCAATTGTCCACTCCTCATAATCCTTGAGTATCTCAGTCGGGTACCTTGGGTCCATCAACGCCTGTGCTAGCGCATCATCACTCAAGGCATGAGACACCCGTCCATGACGGAAAATACTGTGCCCGCCGACCGAGTAATTGCCAACAACAGGTCCCTTGAGGCCAGGATGATTGAGCATCCTAGTATGGGAGTCGCAGGACCCTACGCTGCTATTGTCCACAGACATTGCAATGGAGCCACCATGTGTGCTGGTCTGCATGCTGTTAAGGCTATCTATCGACATGTTTGAGCCCTCACCGAGCTTCCGGTAGTATGCCATGTCGCAAAAATTCCCACCATTGTCACGGCCACCAATCATGCCAGCGAAATTGGGGCCTTCCACCATCATGCAACAACCAAATGTTCTCCTTTTCTCGGCAATTCACCCGTCGCCCTGTTATCTTCCTCACACCGCTTGGCTGTAAAGACACAACCTGCACAGCAAGAGTACATCAGAATTAAGAGCTAAATTCTAGGTGTTGCAAGCAGCTGCAAGTATGTAAATACTAACTACGGTCTAAAATTACGAACATTTAGAGTAAAAAATTCAAGAAACGCTTGACACAGCTGCAGCCACCGAAACTAAAACCGACCTGGAATGGGGAACTTCACTTCTGTCAGCAAAACGGCCAGAAGCCGACTAATTTGAGCAAGAGTGCAGCCAGTAAGCATCCCAAACCCACTAGAAAACCATGGAAACCATCACGAAAGCAGCAGGCTTTCCAACAAATCACCAAGCCCCGCCCAACGAAACAAAGGGGAAACGAAAAAGAAAACGCGCAAAACCAGGTCATATTTCTAGTCTGAGGAGCCTAGAATGGCTAGAAACCAAATCAAACACAAGGAAGCAACTAGACACCTCCACCAGAACCCCACCCGGACCAAATCCCAAGCTCAGACCACCTCCAGAAACTAAATCAAGCTGAGACGCGGCCCACGAAATCGCACCTCGCGAAGTCCACGGTTTCCGGCGATTCGAGGGTCGATCGGGACGAGGCAGCGGCGCTGAGGCGGGGGGCCGCGTCCGGGAGGCGGCGGCGCGGGCGGAGTCGGCCGCTCGGGACGGAGTCAGAGCGGGGAGACGGGGTGCGATGACCAGAGACCAGAGGAAAGGGGAGGAGAGAGAGAGAAGGCCTCAGGATGGGAGAGGACCGGAGGAGAGGGGGCAGACGAGACGAGTGGAGTCGCCTCTCGCTTTTCTCTCTCCTCCTGGTAGTAAGTGCGGGGTGTTAGCAAGGGTGAGCTGGTTACTATAACCGAGGGTGTTTCTGTAAAGTTTTCCTCTGCTGCCTTCGTGCTTCCTGGAGGCTGAAAAGTTGAGTCCAGGGGCTTATCTGTGAATCCCGTACCGTCTGGAGGATGCACCCGCGAAAATACTCCGGTAACAGCAGAAGCCCACGTGATGTGACACGACTGGAGGCCGTTGGTGTCGGTAATCAAAGAGGGAAGAAGCATGCTCCATTAATTTTGGCAGCAGGCCCGGCTAATAATAATCTCGAGGGCTTTTCGTTAACAAGGTGCCAAATCCGTGGTACTACCGGTGGGGCCGTGGGCGCACCACGGCGTGCGTTTCTTTCGTACTCGTACGGCCAGCCGGCCTCGGCCTCGCCCGCCCTGGGCGGCTGCCCGGCTGGCTTGGCGCGATCGCACGCCACTGCTGGGCTGCTGGCTGGTTGGTGTGCCTGCGCCCTGCGCGCGCAGGACGGAGACGAGCGAGCGAACAGCGAACCGGCGTGAGAGTCGCGTCCGGCTCGTGACTGTGAGCTCTTGCCAAGGGGAGGGGATCGTGCGCGAGTCGCGTGCCTCACGCTCTTTACACACCTGACCTGGCCCAGCGCTGCGGTTGGCTGGCTGTTATTTATTTATAATCGGGTAGGCTAGCTGCCTGCCTAGATGAGGTTCTCTTTAATAGTGTTTGGGTTTCTCTAAAATAATATCGGAGAAGCCAAGAAAAGCTATATTTTAGTGATTTTGGCTTCTGTCTCTAATAAAACGATTTTGGCTTCACTGTTTTTTTTTACTGGTTTTGGCTTCAAAGTCGTTCTTGTGTGTGCTCATTAAGCCGGTGGGAAAGCTACAACAAAAATCCTATCAAAGAGACTCTAATTTCTTGAGCTACAGTCTGCTTCTCAAACTCCATCGAGTTAAGAGCTCAGTTTTCAAACTACTCCATCCGTTCCTCCAAACTGTAAGGGCCTATTTAGAAACACAGGAATTTTATAAGAATTCCGTAGGAATTTCATAGGAATAAATTTATTTTCACAGGAAAAACGTAGAAACAGGGAAAAATTCCCATGTTCCAAACAAGGCCTAAATTATTTTACTTTTTCTATGCATATAATTTTTGTTATACATCTAGATATATACACTATGTTTAGATATTTAGTAAAAATTATATAATCTTGAAAATCCAAAATAACCTATAATTTATAATGGATGTAGTACTTACTAAAATTAGCTCTCACGAATCTAAATATATACCTCACGCATCAACTAGTAGCAATTAATAACTTAACATGAACTACTAAGCTAAGGTAGGCAAAGCTCTTATCAACTCTGGCTTCTCCGTGCATTGTAGTATCTCTTTTCTCAAAATGAACAATGAACTAGAGTAGGTGTGGCTGATAGACATGGGGCTAGCAATGGCAGCTCTTGTGGAACAAGTCATCGAGAAACATGTTGCGTTTATGTTTTAATAGGTGAATTTTTATGCTGCAACAAGCAAATTAAGATGTCGCTACATGCTGCTTTGTTGGATTTAGTTTTGTATCGACGTTGCATTTAGTGTTTTTTTATTCATAGCACGATGGTGGCTATATTTTTCTCCTTCCAAGTCATGTCTTTGAATCTGGTGTTTCAGTAGGTCGATGGGGATTATGGAACCATTTGGTTGGGCTTTGACTTTGGCTTTTGGGGATTTTATTTTTTTATGTTTTCCCATCATTGTACATTCTTCAAAGTGGTTTGATGGCTTTTGAAATTGATGAATAAAAAACTCTTTCATAGTTGTTTTGAGATTTAATGGTTTTTGTGATGTTCCCCATGCAATGCTTATGATGTTTTTTTGTGAAAGGTATGCTATGAGAAAGGCTATCACAACATTTACTTTTTCCAACACATGAATCATCTATTAAAACATTCGAAAATTGTCTTTACAACACCCTAAAAAATCTCATGCAATAGGGAGAAACAATAGACACAACATCATAAAATAGATATGACAGCATCATCGGCCATGCAGGTTTGAATCTACAATAGTTAAGGGATGAAAGAGGACCTCTAACTATCATTGTCAAGCTCACCGGAGGAAGGAGGGAGAAGGTCATCATAGGTGGCCTGCATCCACCCCAACATGCCGCCATGGACGAGTCCACACGTACCTATGGGGGGTTGTAGCGACAGTCTCGACCTTCTCTGTAGGTGGTGACGCGAGCACAACCCCCCGCGGGAGACTAGGTTAGCCAATGGCAGTTGCGGATTTGAAAGCAAGATCGATTGACACATTTGAGATTTGGCAATTGGGTTATGTTGATGTTGCAACGGTAATTGTTTCAAGTGCTATTTTATAATAATGTTGTGCTCATTGTTCATCTGCCGCCTCGACTTGTCAAGGTTGAGCAAAGACCGTCTGGTCCGTGCGTGCAACGAAGATAAGATAAGGGATGGGCTGATGTTGCACGCAACATGGCAGTAATGTTTTCTTAATAGTTTTTCTATTTTAATTAATCCAACGCTTGCTATAGTGATATATAAAAGCGTCCGATTTACCGCCTAGTGTTGACGTCCGGCCGCTAGAAGCCTAGCCTAGAAGTGCCATTCGTGTCCGCGTAGCCGCTCTGCTACGGCAGCCGTAACAGCTCCTCCGACAGGGAGTGGCTCGAGTGGACGCGCCACGGCGACAGGGGATCGAGTGGCTGTGGCTGCTACCCTTCAGAAGCTATAGACAGGTCTCACGCGATGGAAATCCTCTCTGCAGTCAACAGAAAGGAATTGGTTCCGGTCTACACAGCCTACTACGAAGATCGGGCTTTGCCGCCCGTGCTTCTGTGACGGACGCGCTCTGCAGTCGACAGCAAAGGAATTGTGTCCAGCGGGCCGCCACCAGGTGCCGAAGCGCGCGAGAATCCACCAGGACACTGCAAGTTCGGCGAGGACAGTGGGCAGACACCGTCGCACGGCACGAGGGGCTAGCAGCCTGTTCGTTTCGGCTAGATTGGCTTATAAGCCATCGGCTGAAAGTACTGCTGGCTGATTTGGTGTGAGAGAAAAGCATTGTTGGCTGACTGATAAGCCAAGCCAGATACAGGCAGTTACATGTTGCCGATCAGGCGGTAGGTTTGTCCATGGGCAACAGCAGCCAAGCCACTGCCTGGTCCAGTGCACCCTAACTCACAAGGCCACAATGCACATCACCACGTTCAGGGCCGTACCTATGATTTGGAGGACCCTGAACAAAACGTGTGATGTGGCCCTAAAGTTCAAGAAGTAAATTGAGTTTCTTTCACAACATATAAGAGTACCCCTTTGAGTTTGAGCCACAACTTTCAATCTTTGCTTCTTCTTACGCTTTTCATGGCCAGAATCATACCTCCTATTTCTAGAAGACATGATGAAGATCAATGAAATAAACAAATCTCCTCTACAATCCCTTGATTATAAAGCGAATTTTTAGATTATCTAATCGGTTAATCTGCTATCCAAGATACAACAATAGACAATTGAGATGAAAGTGGTATGCGTACCATGGTAGGCGGATGGCCGTATAGGACTTACTTTGGGACAATACTCCAATTTATTTATAAACTAGATAAGTGCCCGTGCGTTGCAACGGGTGCAACATAAATTGAACGAGATATTTGGTAGCCTAAGTCAAAATTAAAGAATATATCAATTCAATTTTGCACGTGTGTTTTACCATGATAATGTCTAGAAACACATTCATTATCGTAATGAATCTGAAATAAAAGCTAGGCTTAGAGCTTGTTATCTGAAAGTTACGACCAGCATCAGTTGCCTAAAAGGCTGAAAATTTGTTGCTAGGCATCGAATTGAATTTATCCATGCTCTCTCTTGCCCAAAACATGTATGCTCGGAATTACCATGCCGTAGCCTAGATGCATGAGGCATGGCAACAATTCATTTTTTGGAAGAAAAAAAATAATGTATTCATTTCCCTTCCCATAATTCTCGTTGTGTGGCAACAATTCTCGTCCGTCCTTGTAATTCTGAGCATGGAAACACATTTTTTTTCAAAAGATGCATGAGGCATGACAACAATTCGCATTGTGTGACAACAATTCCCATAATTCTCACCACACAATGAACGCGAAGGATCACGATCATGATCAT